TAGTAGTAGAGTAGTAATAGTAGTAGTAGTAGTAGTAGTAGTAGTAGTAGTAGTCGTAGTAGTAGTAGTAGTAGTAGTAGTAGTAGTAGTAGTAGTAGTCGTAGTAGTAGTAGTAGTAGCAGTAGTAGTAGTCGTAGTCGTGGTATCCCTTGACAACAGCTCTAAGTCTTGGCAGGCCTCGACGCTGCGTAAGGATTGTCAAGGGTTGTCATTGGGTCAAGGGTAATCAAGGATTGTCAAGGGCTATCCAGGCATGCCAAGGGCTTGTCATGCGCTGCCAATATAGGAAAGTCAAACAAGTTAAATGAACATCAAGACAATGTACCATGAACACAAAGCTCACGACATCGCAGGCGAAACATGTAGGACGAGCGTCATGAACAATTCGTGAATCCTGGGAGTCTGGGTCTGCTGGATTGGTGGCGGGTTTGCCGTCGGCGAGCGAGCGTCGACGGAAAAGGGCTCGGCTGATGCGTTCGCCGCTCCCTTTCCAGGAGATGCGCGCTGGAATGCTCGCAGCCCGTCGACTGTTCGTTTGCAGCCCGACAGGAGGGCAGTCGTTTTTTTGAGCAAGGTGTTGTTTATGTGCGCCCGGATCCTCCAAGTACTACTGTAGCGCTTTTCGGTCCGGCCTCGGGGGACAGGGTCGGGCGTGCCCTTGCGCGAATCTGGCCTAAGTGAAGTAACGCTCTTGATGGAAAAGGAAAAGAGTCAAGAAAACCTTGAAGTCATCGTCAGAATGTGAAGAGTCGTAGCTGCGGCCGTAACAGTAGGATCAGTCGCAGCTCGTGACTTCTTCAACCGCCAACATCATCTCCTCTCAGAGCCTTCGTCCGATGTCGTCCGCGCACCGGCGAGGCTGACTTGTACGAGAGCCTGATGCCGCTGTACTTCCCGCGCGTCGCGGAGGAGGCGGGGCTGGCGGGCGTTCTGCGTTATGCCGAGCCAGCGTGCACAGTCACAAGCAGGTTCGAGGCGCTTCCACGCGGCGGTGACGCCAGCGCGGGCGTTCAAGGTTGAAAGGTCTGCCAGGTGCCCGCTTTGGGCCTTTGGAAGGACTTTCAAGATTGTGAGGTGTGTTTTCTGTCCATGTGAATGTGCTTTCCTTCGCCGTTCGATCCGATTCTCGTTTCCTCGCCGTGTCATCGTCCTTCCCTTCCTCCCCACCTTGGATCTGCTGATTGCAAACTGCCGGTGTGTGGCCTAGGACATGGCCGCGGTGCTGTTTGAATGCGCCTGCTGGAGCGAACGCGGCCAACAAAGACTTGCTGATTGCACAGTAAGAACTTTGAGATACTCATACTGATAGGGTCCGGTTTCGAAAAGGGTCTCCATGCTCCGTGGGTCGTTTCATGAGTTTTCCCCTCGCGCTCCTCGTGCACTCAGGCGCAGCCGAGGCCTTCAGAGAGATCCATTTGGCGTGCGTCCGAACACTGTGGGGGCTCCCTCGGATTCCTTCGCCCCCGACCCGGAGAGCAAGCAGCTGTGCTTTTTTCCTGAGAGTCTGGCGGCTCTTCTCTGGTCGGCCTGCAAGGGTTTCTGGCCGGGCAGATCGATGCATACTGGTGCACATCGACGTGTATGAGTCCAGGTGGGCAGTATAATTCTGTCCAGAAAAATCCCGAGAAGGAGGCTCCAGCGCGAGCCCGGGGGCAGCAGAAGTCGTCGAGCCCTGAATGAACTCTGCCGTCTCAGGGGTGTCTGTGGGGTAGTGGCGCTTCCTCCTTCGCCTGATCCTCCCCTCTTCTTCCTCTCCCTCCTCGGCTCGGCTCGGCTCTTGCCCCTACTTCTCGGTTTGGCTGGGCTCTTCCTCCTCCTGATCCTCCGCCACCTCTTGCCCACCCTTAGCCTCTCCCGCCTTATTCCTCCTGTTCGTTCTTTTCGTCGTCCTCGTCCTCCCCCTCTGCCCCCCCCTCATGCACAGAATTTTCAGGTGCCGAGCTCGTCGCTCGCTTCAAAAGCTCGTATCGAGGCATAGCCTCTGCTCTGCGTGGGTGGAGGCGCCCTTTGGGGCAGCACCTCCTGCCCTCGAGATGCCTGCCGTACACCGGGGAAGGGACGGAGGGCGAATGCAGTGGCCCGAACATTGCCGCTTTCGAGCCAGCCTGGATTCCCTGTATGGAGGGAGCTGCAGTGGGCGTCCAGTAGAGGCAGGCTCGATCCCCGTTCCTGCGGCAGAAGCGGGCGACGCCAGCAAGACACGGGCCGCTTGCGCTACCGCACGCACGAACACGCTGCAGCGAGCTGGCCAAGGTGGAGGAGGAGGAGGAGGAGGTGGAGGAGCAGGAGGAGGAGGAGGAGGAGGAAAAGAGGGTCTGCCCCTCCTCTCTCTCTCTTCCTCCTCGCCCCTCCTCCTGCTTCTCATTCTTCTCCCCCTCCTTCAAAGCCCTCCTGCTCCTGCATATACTCTCGCTGCTGCTACTCCGTCTTCTTTCCCTGCTCCTTCTTCTCCCCATCTCCTCCTCGTTCTCGTATCTGTCCTCCCTCATTGCTTTCTCCTTTTCCCTGGCCACTCGGGCTCCCGCCCAATCGGGAACACGCGTGCGGAAGGAGGGAGAGGGAGGATGACGGATGTGGAAGGGCTGCTGCTGCTGCTGATGCTGCTGCTGCTGATGATGATGCTGGTGGTGGTGGTAATCGTGGTGGTGATGATGGTGATGAAGATGGTGGCAGCGACCCTGATGATGGCGACAACGGTGGCGATGGTAACAACGCTGATGATGGTGACGATGACGATGGGAGGGATCATGATGATGGCGACGACGATGATGATGATGATGACGATGACGATGAAGATGACGACGATGACGATGATGATGACGATGATGATGATGATGATGATGATGATGATGATGATGATGCTGATCATCATGATGATGATATCGATGTTGATTATGAAAACGATGCGGATCAACAATGCTGGTGACATTGACGATGCGTGTGGTTGCGGTGGTGACGACGATGATAATGATGATGCTGATGGTGATGATGCTGATGATGATGTCGATGATGGTGATGATGATGCTGATGGTGGTGATGATGATAATGATGATGATGCTGGTGGTGGTGGTTATGATGATGCTGCTGATGAGGAGGGGGAGGATGATGAGGACGATGATGGAGATGATGGGGATGCTTCCGACTTACCATTCAATTCAGTGTGACCGTTGTCATCATCATTCGACGTATCATTGTTGTTTGTTCTTGCCGTGGATATGACGACGATGATAGGTACACGGATGATGATGATGATGATGATGATGATGATGATGATGATGATGACGAAGGTGGTGTTGATGATGTTGTTGATGATGATGCATATCATGACGATGACGGTCATATTCATGATTGTGGTGGTGGTGGTGACGACACGATGACGATGACGACGGCGATGATTCTGATGATGCTGATGATGCTGCTGATGATGATGATGATGATGATGATGATTACAATGATGCTGATGATGATGCTGACGATGATGTTGATGGCGCTGATGCATATGCTGCTGCTGCTGATGATGATGCTGATGATGATGATGATGACGATGATGATGGTGGTGGGGATGGTGATGGTGATGGTGATGGTGATGGACGTGATGCTGCTGATGATGATGTTGATGCTGATGCTGATGATGATGCTGGCTGATGATTTTGATGATGATTTTGATGATGATTCTGATGATGATGCTGATGATGGTGATAATGATGCTGCTGATGCTGCTGCTGATGATGCTGGCGATGACGATGACGATGACGATGCTGCTGCTGATGATGATGCTGATGATGATGATGATGCTGATGCTGATGCTGACGATGATGATGCTAGTTGTGATGATGCTGATGAGGATGCTGCTGCTGATGGTAATGAGTATACTGACAATGATGCTGATGATGCTGATGATGATACTGGTGATGATGATGCTGATGGTGGTGGTGGGTTTGGTGGTGGTGATGATGCTGATGATGATGCTGATGCTGATGCTGATGAGGATGAGGATGAGGATGAGGATGCTGATGCTGATGATGATGCTGATGATGATGCTGATGATGCTGATGATGCTGCTGCTGATTATGATGATGACGATGACGATGACGATGACGATGATGATGATGATGATGATGATGATGATGATGATGATGATGATGATGATGATGCTAATGACGATGATGATGATGGTGGTGGTGGTGCTGCTGCTGTTGCTGCTGATGCTGATGATGGTCATCATGCGTATGATGAGTATGATGAGTGGGCGACGGCGTCGACTGCATCGGTGTTGTTGACGTCGGCAACCTCGACACCGATGCCGACCATTATGATGGTGATGATGGTGAGGATCACAATGATTTTACGATGAGGATGAACGGGAGGAGAAGAGATCAGGGGTGGAGGGAGGGGGTGAGGGAGGGAGGGACGGAGGGAGAGAGAGATGGCAGGCTGAAGAACATAATAAACTATGGACGACGGGAGGGAGAGGAGGAGGAGGAGGACGAGGAGCAGGAGGAGGAGGAGGAGCAAGAGGAGCAAGAGGATAAAGAGGAGCAGGTTTTGGGAAAGGCGCCCCTCATCCTCCTACCAGTGCAGCCTTCCAGAAGGCCCCTTGGTCCCCTCACCGTTCTCCTCCCCCGTCATCCCAGTGTCCCTCTCAGCTTTTCTCCTCCTCCTCCTCCTCCTCCTCCTCCTCTTCCTCCTCCTCCTCCTCCTCCTCCTCCTCCTCCTCCCTCTCACCTCCTCCTTCTCCTTCTCCCGTTACCTCCTCCTCCTCCTCCTCCTCCTCCTCAGGACCTGCGAAGAGGAAACTTGGAGGGAGGGTTTATTGCAGCATCGTTGATGCGTCTTGTGTTTACGCTGGTCCTCCTCCTCCTCCTCCTCCTCCTCCTCCTCCTCCAGAACAAATTGCCAAACCAAAGTTCCCCTCTTCTGTCATCCTCCCCCTCTTGCCCCTCCGAAGTTGACCTCTCGACCTCTGTTCCAGGTTGCATCCTGGCAGGGAAGTCCAAGGCGGATCCAGCTCAGAGTCCCCCCAGACGGGCCTGAGACGTCCGCAGGCCTAGACCCTGGATCCTCGAGCCTCGACGGCCTCCCCCCCGCTGCCTCTCGTTGTGAAAAGGAGGCCACGGCGGCGGGCCCCGGGGCCACTGCTGGCTCCCTGGAGGCACTCGCTAGGCCACGGGCCCGCCAAAGCCAGTCCAGGGGCAAGGCCTGGACCTCCAGGGGTCCACGGTGTGAGAAAAGCACGACGTCGGAGCTGTGGGTCTCCTCCTCCTCCCTCCTCCCTCCTCCCTCCTCCCTCCTCCCTCCTCCCTCCTCCTCCTCCTCCTCCTCCTCCATCCTCCTCCTCCTCCTCCTCCTCTCCTCCCTCTTCCTCCTCCTCCCTCTTCCTCCTCCTCCTCCCTCTTCCTCCTCCTCCTCCCTCTTCCTCCTCCTCCTCCTCCTCCTCCTCCTCCTCCTCCCTCTTCCCCTCTCTTCTTTGGCACTTCGTCGTGGCGTCGCCTTTTCGCAGACGCGTTTCTGTTCTGTTGCCTAATTCGTCGTGGCTTCGCCATTCCGCTAGACTGACGGTGTCTTCATCCTGACTCGATCCTGATTCGTTCCCTCCTTCCTCCTCCTCCTCCTCCTCCTTCTCCTCCTCCTGCTCCTCGTACTCCTCCTCCTCCTCCTCCCACTCCTACTCCTACTCCTACTCCACCTCCTCCTCCTTCTCCTCCTGCTCCCCTCCTCCTGCTCTCATCCTCCTCGACTGGCAGCGCCGTTTTTCCGCGCCCATCTCCCGCACCCTCGAGCGTCGGCGGGCACCCCGGGGGCCCCAAGACCATCACAAAATGGTTCCGGGGCGAGACGGTGTCCCAGGGCGTGGGGTCGGGACCCCGTGGGGCCCCGCACGGAACAGGTCACATTCTCGATCTTCGGATGTTTGGGAGTCTCGGGCTCGTGGGCTCGTAAAGTGGGGGGGGGGGCTGTTCCAAGGTGGGGCTGGGGAAGGAACCCAGCTGGATGCGCACACCTCCTTCCGAGGGGGGGGGGGCAGAGCGGTTTTCCTCCAACCCCACCTCTGCCCCTGCCCCACCTTTACGCCCCCCCGGTTCGGGGGAAAGTGCTCCCGACCCCTGGTGCAGGCCCCCTGAAGCCCCCCCCCCGAGACCCCCAGAACCCTCCACAGGATTCGGCGCCCCTCTTCCAGTCATCACCATCCTCCCCTTGCCCCCTCCCACGGGCGGCTCCCGTCCCTCCCCAGAGCGCGCGCCCCCCGGTGCCTTCACCATCCCCTGTCCGCCTCCTCCGTCCGCCTCTCCTTCCCCTGTCCGCCTCTCTCCCGTGCCCACGCGAGTGCTCCGGGAAGCTGGGAAGGGGATACCGTAATTAGGGGGGTGGGACGGTCTCTCTCTCTCTCTCTGTCACGCTCTCTCCCTGAGCTTTTGTCGCATGCCGCAAGTCCGTGCCTCCCCCGCGCCCAGGCGGCGGCGGGCGCCAGGGTGCTGCCAGACAGCTGCTGGACGCCGTGGGGCGAGGTGGCGGTCGAGGAGCGGCTGCGCGGCCAGGGAGGAACTCCGAGGAGGAGCATCGAAGGGGTTCTTCGCTCTGGAAGGTCGTTCTGGGCCTCGGTCCTCCAAGATCGGCTTGGGAGGAGAAGTTGGCCAGGATGTGCCAGGGGCAGCGTTTGGGAGCGAGAGGCTCAGGGTGGGGACGGCATCGACCCCCAGTCGCCCATTCGTCGCCGATGGGGGCCCGATAGCCCGCCCCGCAGAGGAACGCCGCGGATTTGCTGTCGGGGGCCCATCGCCGATCCATCGGCGATGTATCGCCGCTCTCGGGTTGATGCTGCTCCCCCCCTGAGCCGGTCCCCCCCCCCACCGTTGCCCCCCATGGGGGGGCGGTGGGCGCGCGGGGGCGGAGGTGCGCCTCTGCGCTCGGCCGGGCGCCCGCGGCGCACTGGGAGGAGCTCGAGGGTCGCCGCGCTGTTCCGCTTGCCGTCGCCGCGCTGTCTCGGGTCTCTCTGCCGATCCGTGTTTCACCCCTGATTCGAGAGTGGGTATCTTTGGACCCCCAGAGCCCAATCTGCTTTAGCCGCCTTCCTACTTCAATGATCGAGTGGTTTCCCCTCTTTCCTCCTCTTCAGGGGGCGGGCGGAAGCCCAATCTAATTCCAACGCCTTCCTACTTCATGCTTCTACCCACTTCTTCCGACCGACGGGTATCCATGTTTCGCCCTTGGTCCTCGCTTGCAGTAATTAGGCGTAGCTTCTCGGAGTTCTGTCCGCCACCGAGAAGGAATGAGAAGCCCTCCTTCCCTCCCTCTCTCCCTGCTGCTGGTGCTCCTCCCTCCCTCCCTCCTCCCTTCCTCCCCTCCCTCTCCTCTCTCCTCTCTCCTCTCTCCTCTCTCCTCCTCCTCCTCCTCATCCTCCTCCTCCTCCTCCTCCTCCTCCTCCTCCTCCCTCCTCCCCCTCCTCCTCCTCCTCCCTCCTCCTCCTCCTCGCCTCCTCCTCCTCCTACCCTCCTCCTCCTCCTCCTCCTCCTCCTCCTCCTCTCTCCTCTCCCCCCCCCCTCGCATTACTCTTCCTCCTCCTTCTCCTCTCTCCTCTCTCCTCTCTCCTCGCTCCTCCTCCTCCTCCGCCTCCTCCTCCTCTTTCTCCTCCTCCTCTCTCCTCCCTCGCCTCCTTGATCCTCCTTCTCCTCTTCCTCTCTCCTCCCTCGCCTCCTTCCTCCCCCTCCCTCAAACGGCATGTGGATGCCTCCTCCTCGTTTTGAATAGGAATCGTCTTCACGGGTTTACGATGTGGTGGCAACAAGTCCACTCCAGGAGCCGAAATAGCCAAACAGAAAAAACACCCGAAGGAGGAGAATAATCAGGAAGGCCAAGAGGAGAAGGAAGGCCGAGAGGCAGCGCCTACGGAGAAGAAGGAATGTCGAGAGGAGGTGGGACAATAGGGAAAAGGGGTAATAGACGCCACCGAAGCCCTGCGCCTCAGCCCAAGCCCCATGCCTCCAGGCGGAGAGCTCCTGTCCAGGGATGTGCGGGGTGGGGGGAGTGTGGGCAGCGCGCATCGCTGTGCTGCACACTCCAGGACTGACCGGGAAAAGTGACAACAGCCACAAAAGGACAACTTTTGTAACATTTGGTCTTTTGGCTCCCCCTACAAAGAACCTGAAAGAGGGCCAGACACTGGAGTTGGCTGGTGCTGCTGATTCCCACCCAAGCCATCGACCTTCCTCCCACCCCCTTTCCCTTCCCACCCCCTTCGTGCCGAGTTTTTTTGCGTCGGCGGCTAGGCAGGGGTCGTCTGCGCTGGCGGAGTGAGCTAAACGGGGGCGCCGTGGTAGCAAATTGGCCATCATGCAAGAGCGGGAAAACGGGACAGGGCGGGCGGCCGCGGAGACTGGGAGGGGCGAGGGCCACTCAGGGGCGGACGGGTCGCGTCCCCTGTGTGGGGCGGCGCGGCCAGCCCCGCCGGCGGGGACTGTTGCAGCAGCCAGGCCGCTGCGCCAGTGCGCCTGCTGAGGCGGGGCCCAGCACGGGTACTGCAAGCAGGCGAGACCGCGAGACGCCGACGTAGAGCACGAGGTGCAGGGCCGGCGGCCCGCGCGCCGCCCGGGTGGGAGGCACAGTACAAGGTGCGTCAAGTAAAGGTGCATCCAGGTTGGACTGCATCCAGCAACACGTTGGGGCAGGGAGAGGGGAACAGGCGGCAAGACCAGGCCCAGGATCCCGAACGCGTGGTGGCTGCAGGGAGCAGCAGCCCTGGCGCCATGGCGGCGCGCGGAGGGAGCGAGAGCGAGCGGGGGGGAGGGGGAGGAGGGGGCGGGGGAGGGGCGCCCCGCTTGTGGGGAGGATCCCGCAGGCGGGGCAACGGGGCCGGCGGCCCAACGCCGGCACTGGAGCTGTCGGCGGGTGGCCCTGGCTGCGGCCGCGGAGGCCGAGTGCTGGGCCAGTCTAGGGGCACCTAATCGGTGTAGCGACCTGCTTCAAAACTGTGGCCGAAGGCTTACGGGTGCCACGCGCTGTCGGGGTGGACAGTGCATGGCCGGTCTCGGGGCAGCGTGATGGTGCTGTATCCTGCGATTGCGAGCACAGGGATGACGGGGCATGACGGAGGAAGCAGCGGAGGAAAGTGGCGTCGTGCCGGCTGGGGTCGCGGGTGCCGCCGCCACGCGGAGCGAAGAAATTGCTCCAGGCCGCCCCAGGTTCACCACCTGTTTGCAGCATTTTCTTGACCCGGACCACCAGGGCTCCCTTCGAGTTGAGGAAGTCGAGCAGGATGCGTGCTGGGGCATCGTCAGGACGCGCCCGTCCCTTGCCCTGCTTCCTATAGTCCGAGGTGAACGAAACCCACAGGACGCGTGTGTCCGGCAAAGCGGTCCAGGTGTCTTTTTTTGACGAGGAGCAGGAGTTCACGCCGTGCAGGCAGAGGTGTCTCCCCTCGCGGACTGGCGCTGGAGCAGCCCGTGGTGCTGGAGCTGCCAGCGTCCGCCGTCACAGGGGAGGAGCGAGGAGCCTCCGGGGCGGGCAGTGGGTTCCCGTACTGATGCTTGTCGGCGACGACCCAGTCGCCGGCTACCGCCGCTGACGTGGCGGGTTGCACGGGCGGTTGCCACGCGCCGCCTCGACTCGATTGCTGCGGGGTTCCGCTGCTCACGACTGTGCTGATGGGTCCCGCCTTCCGGCCGTGGCGGCGAGGGACATCCGGGACGCGCGTCGGTGCCAGGATTTCCGCTGCTTCCGTCCCCGCGTTCTCCGACTCCCCGAGAGTCCAGCCGTGGTGACCAGGGGATGTGGCGACGAGGAGTACAAATGACCGTTGCAAAGGATGGTGTGATGGCGCCGTACTCTCCCGATGGGCATCGATGAACCTGGGGTGGGGAACCCCGTGCCGTTGGGAGGCCTGGCTCCCAGGGGGCGGCGGGAGGCTCATTGGGCCCGGTGTCTTGGTCCCCGTCGGGGTCGTGCTGGGCAGGCGTCGTGCTACGTTGTCCGTCAGCTCTGTCAGCCGCCTGGGTGTCGAGCGTCGGTCGGGCGTGCCCGATGCCTGGGTCCATCTCCGTCTCCTGTTCAAGCACGCCGTCGTCGGTAACCGCCTCGGGTCCGGGTGCAGGGCGAGCGCTTGACTCTGGGTCGGCGCTCGTGCCTCTGGCGGGTTTGCCCCGAGGGAAGCCGCCCTGGCCTCCTCCGTCGTCGTCGTCGTCGTCGTCGTCGTCGTCGTCGTCGTCGTCGTCGTCGTCGTCGTCGTCGTCGTCGTCGTCGTCGTCGGCGTCGTCGTCGTCGTCGGCGTCGGTGTCGGCGTCGGCGTCGGCGTCGGCGTCGGCGTCGGCGTCGGTGTCGGCGTCGGCGTCGGCGTCGGCGTCGGTGTCGGGGTCGGCATCGGCGTCGGCGTCGGTGTTGGCGTCGGCGTTGGCGACGGCGTCGGCGTCGGCGTCGTCGCCGTTGTCGTGCCCGTCTTCGCCCTCCCCCCGACTTCCCCCGACCGCGCCATGTGTGCAACTAGTCGTTCCAAAAGACGGAAAGATGGTGTCGTGCCTTCCCTGCGGACAGCGTCGAACCCAGGGTGGGGGACGTCGTGTCGCAGGGAGGGCGTGCTGGAGCTCCTGGCGGTGCCGTTGGCTTCTGTCCCGCTGTTCGGGTACGCCGTTTGGCTATGGCGACGAGAGGTCTTCTGGGCGAACAGCGGTCGAGGCCACGCCTTCCAGGTCGTTCCGAGACGCCGGTCGTGGCGACGAGGGCCCTCCAGGACGCACGGCGGTGCCGTCATTTCCTTTTCCTCCGCACCCCCAGGATCCTCCACTTCCCAGGGAATCCCCACCACCCCCAGAGGCGTTCACATGCCCACCGCCGTCCACCCCGCACGGACTAGGTTCGCTGCTGAGCGTGGCCTCCTCTAGTGCAGGGGATTCGCCGGTTCCTCGGGAGCCCCGGGGGCACGGACGAGGGCCGATGTGGTCCGGGGGAACCGTGTGAACCACGTGGAGGAGGGTTGTCGTCGTCACCGCCGACGTCGTCTTGGACCAAGGCCGTCGCGGGGCCATCTTTTTCACGGGCGCCGTCTCCGTCCTTCGGCGGACGGGGGCCGTCCGATCCGCTGCTGGGGGAGGGCGAGCGGATGGGAGCGAAAGGGCCTCTGCTGACCAGGCGATTGAGTGCGGCTGTGTCCGCCTTTTTGGCCACCTTCTCTCGGGGCAGCAGTGCCGCGCCGACCTGCGGGTCCAGCTCGCCAGCTACATTGAGCAGCGGCAGCCCGAGACTCTCCAGGTAGTGGCGGCCGTGCGAGCCATCGGGGTGCCTTGCCAGGGGGGCTTCTTGGCTCTTTGAAGACGGCTGCACCAGGGAGGATTGCGTAGACTTGGCCGTCTGTGTCCAGTACTCGAACCCAGGAGCCAGGGGGCTAGTCAGTGGGGACGTCTGCGGTCGAGCCGAGGGGATCAGTCGTCCCCGCAGCCCTGTCCCACTGCCTGCTTGGTTCCGTACGCCGGTTGGGCATTTGGCTGCTGCTGCACGCCGCCTTCACACTTGTGAGCCTGGGGTCGCCGGGGGT